AAAAGAATATGATAAATGGAACATTAAAGGCTCTTACCCAAGCAAATCACAATGCAATGGTTGGACTAAATGGCGGCACTTGAAGAACACACCTTTTGCCAGCCGATTGCAGTTTTGGCTAGTGGATAGTAACTTGCGATTTATGAGTTAGAATGACACGAAAGACATCCCAAGTGACATATAATCAATCGATGTTCAAGTAAGACTATGCATGTAGATATCCTCTATGACACGAAAGACATCCCAAGTAACATGTAATCAATCGATGTTCAAGTAAGACCATGCATGTAGATATCGTCAACGACCCATGAAAAGTGAACTGACATCAGACTAATGATATTATGGGTAAGTATATACTTATTATAGGGATCAGTTAAAATAACTCTTCCTCTAGCATATTCATCAACAACTAAAAGGAAAAATGGACAGAAAAGACCCTTCTAGGGAACATTGTAATAGTCATGCATCATTCTTGCATGAGATCAAGCACTGATTGCTCACAATTTCAGTCTGCCTCTCTGAATCTGTTATTGGTATAGCAGCAATACAATCATACAAAATTTGGATTCTGGTCATGCAAAGAAAACGATTCTCACCTAAATCTCCGTTGCTGGAACCATCACCGGCGCCTATTGCGACCTTCCTATCGTCAATGCCATCTTCCTTTCTTAGTAAGCTAGTTGTTTCATCGCCTAATTTGGGAGATGGGAGATTGTGAAAGAGAAAGAGACAGGATAGAACAATCGAGGTGGACGTTTTCCCCCTTCTTTCTCCTTCCCGTTAGAGAAAGGGAAAGATCCAGATGGATGAAACAGATGTAAGAAAATTTGTGACTTTGATTATGGAACAGAGGAAACACATAAGGAATTAAGGAAGGAAAAAAATGAAATTTAAAAAGTCCCACTTATTTGACCCATAATTAAAAGAGGGCATAAATTATTTTATTTAAAAGGCGGACAATCACAAAAAGTTAATCCTTATTTCAAAATTTTAATGTCCCCATTGATTTGCCTCTAGTCTCTAGAGTTAGTATCCATGCAACCTACCTGATCTTCTCCTTCCCGTTAGAGAAAGGGAAAGATCAAGATGGATGAAACAGATGGAAGAAAATTTGTGACTTTGATTATGGAAGAGAGGAAACGTATAAGGAATTAAGGGAGGAAAAAAAATTAAAAAAGTCCCGTTGATTTGACCCATAATTAAAAGAGGACATAAAATATGAAGGCTTTCACTTCTCAAACTAAAAGAGGGCATAAATTATTTTATTTAAAAGGCGGACAATCACAAAAAGTTAATCCTTTTTTCAAAATTTTAATGTCCCCATTGATTTGCCTCTAGTCTCTAGAGTTAGTGTCCATGCAACCTACCTGATCTTCTCCTTCCCGTTAGAGAAAGGGAAAGATCCAGATAGATGAAACAGATGAAAGAAAATTTGTGACTTTGATTATGGAAGAGAGGAAACGTATAAGGAATTAAGGAAGGGAAAAAAATTAAAAAAATCCATTGATTTGACCCATAATTAAAAGAGGACATAAAATATGAAGGTGTTCACTTCTCAAACTAAAAGATGGCATAAATTCTTTTATTTGAAAGACGGACAATCACAAAAACTTAGTCCTTTTTTCAAAATTTTAATGTCCCCATTGATTTGCCTCTAGTCTCTAGAGTTAGTATCCATGCAACTTCTCTTCAATTAAAAGAGGCAATAAAAATTGAAGGGAGAAACCAGCGAACCATGACAAGCAAGAAATGGCAGACAAAAACAATGGGAAACAATCCCTATTGATGATAAATTAATTTTTTAATACCTTATTGATTTGACCCTAATAAACAGTAAACTTAAAACCTCTCTTTTAAGTATATAAAATTGAGTGGTAGATTGTTCGGGGTGCAACTTGTTGGGGGTAAGTGGATGAAAAAGTAAGATGTTGAAAATAGATTGAAAAGTAAATAATTGTATTATTATAAAATAGATTTATCAAATTTATAAAATATTATCATAAAATAATAAAAATAAAAATAATATATAATATTTTATAAATAATTATTTTAGAAGGTTTCAAAGGTTCGCATTTCGTTAAATACAATAGGCATTACGTAATAGGTTACGTAACATATGGTAATCTTACGTAACAGCTGTAAAAGATCATTACGGAAGCCTTAGGTAACGAAATGTGTCTTTACTTAATGAGTATTAACCTCTCGTTACGTAAAATGCTAGTCATTAAGCCTTTCGTAACGCTACTAACTTAAATTTTACGTAAGAAATAACTGTCGTTCTGTAACCTTTATGTAATTGAAGGTCTTTTTACGTAATGACTAATGAGTATTAACCTTGCGTTATGTAAAGTGTTAAGTCATTACGGAATCCTTACATAACGCTTCCGATTTTATTGTTACGTAAGAAATAACTATCGTTTCGTAACTTTTACACAATGAATGTGTATTTGACATAATAGTAACAGTTGTAAAATATCATTATGGAAGCCTTACGTAATGGAAAGTCTCTTCACATAATGAGTATTAACGTCGTGCTACGGAAAGAGCTAAGTTATTACAGAAGTCTTACGTAACGCTTCTAATTCTATAAGAATTAAAAAAGAAAAAACAACTAAATATGAAAAAGGAAAGAAAAAATAAAAAAGTAAATTGACAAGGTGGTGACCGACAACCCTTATTGCTATTGATTTTTTTACTTATGTTTTAATTTTTTTATATCTTTAATCAATAGTTTAAAATTAGTTTGATCGATTTTAACTATTTAAATCTATGTAAATTATTTAACTTGAAATTATATCTAAGGGGTCGTTTGGAGAATGAGAGTGTGAATCTAGAGATTTTAACGAATCTAGAGATTTTAACTCCTGTGATTGTATGGATATGATTCTAAAAAGTTCAGTGTTCGGTAATTGTGATTAGTAAAAATATAATATCTAAATTTCAGTTAAATGACTCACTTGCCCTCAACAAAGAAGGCGGCAAAATCAAATCAATTTCAGTTTCTAACTAACACATGGTGCAACACATAACATCCTCACTTAACAACCTTCTCTGTTGCGTCACTCATGCTGAGCAACTCACCATTGGTTGCTGCATATATCATAAATTCAAAATACAGCCTGCAAACACAATATCAAACATGTATAGAGGGGGAAAATGTAGCCGAGGCACAAGAAATAAAAGAATATCTCCTGTAAACAATAGGTAATGAATCAAGTTATTATGTTCGAAAATCACAACAAAATATGATCCAAATTAAGTTTCAAAATATTATCCAACAAGCTAGAATTCTGTCTTCTAGTCTGCAGGTTGCAAAATATCACGAAAACTACTACTTTCATCCCATTCATACCAGCTGCCGCAACCAAAGTAGACACCACAGTACATTCATAACGTGGCTCTCTTCAATTGATGAGTTGCAAGAGAAAACTCAATTGATCTTCTGTTGGAAGTTGGTAACAAAGATCAGCAAGACTAACATCCTTCACAAGTACCATTGCAGCTTGTAAAACTTGATTTCTGGTAAGGCCCTCGACTTTGGATAACTCATCGAACAAACTTCTACGCCTAGCAATCAGATCATCCTCCATGCAAAAGCTATTGGCAATCCTATGAACATCTGTAGCTGTTTGTTCCATCACCGGCTGCAATTTGCCAATCTCAGCTGTCACTGCAGTTATGACTGCTACATTTCTCTCATGCCTTGGCTTTTTGTTGCTTCCAATTGATGTTCCAGGCTGAGTCTTACCAGCATCAGTCTCATCGCTCAGTAAAGTCCCGTGATCAACCTCATCATGAACCATATCCTCCAGGATACGTTGGGTTGTTTCCTCATCCAAGTCAATACAAGATTCTCCATTATGATCAGCTATAACTTCCCTAACATCTGCGGATGTTTGTGCCTGACCACCCATTGCCCTATCTTTCCCAAAAATTCTTGCAAGCTGGTCGAAGTATAGGAATGGTTTTTTGTTCAGTCCTTTGCATCCCGGATGACTCTACAAAACCATATTTGAAGATCATGTTCACCTATGTTACGAACAACATATAAACACTTGTGTAAACATATACGATAAATAATATTGTACCTTAATCCATTCATTGAATACATCATCGTCTGCAATCACGCGCTTCTTGCTTTCATCCCAACCAAAGCCACTGCAGCTCCCGCCTTGCACCTCGCATATAGCAGCGTACTTGATTTTAAAGAACCGATGTCTTGATTGGATGTGCGGCTGAGCCTTCAATTTGAAGTTTGGCATCTTCTTACGAATCATGGCCTCTAGTTTTTTGAATCCAGAAACTTTGAACTTCCCACCTTCAACTTCTCATGATTGAGTGAGCTCTAGCATGGCTTCAATCAAAGCAGCATCCTGCTCTGGCGTCCATTGTGTGTACTCACCTTGTTTCTTTCCTACTGCAGGTCCAACATCATTGCTCTGAACATTTGCAGGTTCCATATCTGGTACAACATATATTTGCAAGCACTAACAAAGTTGATCAGCTAATATGGAGAACTCACAGTTAACAGTAAGAATATATTGCAGTCATAATTAGCAAAAACAAGAATCACCAAATAATGTAAGTACACGTATGCTGCTACATGTGCTGGTGTGCTTTATCAGACAAATAATATAAAGAACTCAAAGTTAACAACATATATATAGCATATAACACAAGCTGGTAGCCTACGTATTAGCTTGTAAGACTAATAACAAATAAAGAATAATTAAATTATATAGGTTCACTTCACAAGTCTAGCTGTGAAACTCAATAAAGACTCTCCATTGTCTGTAACTGCTAGTCCACATAAACAAAGCATCTCAAAATAATAAATCCCCACCAAAATGCGTTACTGAAAACAAGAATATGATAGCTTTAAATCATTATAAGACGAAACGAGAATCACTAGATATGTTCCATGTAGTAATAACAAAGTATAACTACCAACCCAAGTATAAATTAAAACAAAGTAGAAATTGATAATGCTTTTGATAGAACTATTGACCCGCCCAGCCCCTATTTGCCCACATATCTTGAGCAAGATTGTTCCTAAATTGAGTCCATTTTGCTGTGGGTTGGATGTGCATGATAAGGTCATCATCATCTACCAAAGCTGGTTCTTCAGAATCATCTTCATCCATGTACATTCTCTGCCACACATCAGCACCAACCTCTCCCCGTATGTAGTTGTGAAGCAAACAACAAGCATTGACGATTTTTGCTACCATGTCTGTTGAATACCAAGTTGTATCTCTCAAAATTGCCCATCTCATCTTTAATATACCAAAAGCTCGTTCAATAGAATTTCTCGCAGTTGCATGCCTCATATTAAACATCTCCTCAGGAGTTCTAGGCCTATTTCTACCCCATTCTTTCAAGTGATACCGCTGCCCTCGAAAAGGTGAGAGGAATCCTTCACAATTACTATAGCCGGCATCGCACAAATAATAGTTCCCTAAACAAGATTAGAAGAAATTGTCTTGTAAACAGTTTGTGCTCAAATAGTGAACACATTAAACAAATTAATATTAATAACCACTACCTCTTGGGACCTTCAGACCGTTTGGCCGAACAAGGGCGTCTCTAAGTACCCGTCCATCATGAGCCGATCCCTCCCAACCATCCAGATAGTAGATGAATTCCATGTTTGTATTACAAACACCCAAGACATTCATACCTATGGTTCCTTTACGCGTGCGATATCTTTCTTGCATCTCTTTTGTCGCTCGGACACTAATTATTGTTCCATCCAAAGCACCGAGACAATTCTACGTTGAATTCGACCAAACATTTAGTAGAAGTCCTAAAATAAGTGTAAAACTATCGTATATTGTTTACAAATTAAGCTATTAACCTTGAAATGCTTCCACTTGAAATCAGTTGAATTCTCTGGGACGGGTACAGGTCTACGCAATAGAAGTTTGTGAAGTTTTGACACTGAAAGCAAGACGAGTTTGAAAACTTGACAAATGGTTTCTCCTGATCGACGAAAAGTCTTTTGCAAAACACGAGTTTTCTCATTGTGAGCTATTGTGTATAAGAAGATAGCAACCATCTCGTCTATTTCCATGTAACAGCTACATCGTAGCCCTCCCTCGTCCCTAAGGAGATTGCAAAGCTTTTGAAAAGCTCTACAATTCATCCTAATGAGCATGGTGCTTGAGATATCTCCATGGGAAGTTACAGCACTCATAAAAGAAGATCTGGCATTTTGACATGCGAGTGGTGTCTCCCAAGTAGTACAGTTTGATCTACTTGGCAACACTCTCTCACTTTCTAGTGCCTCCAACAATATGATTTTTAACTTTAGGTAACGAAACAAAAGTTCACTGAACATCGAATTCACAGTAGCTACCGCTTTTCTCCTATGGATTAGACACCGTGCCATCACCTTGAGATCAAATTAAAAATAAATAGGAAAACAAACTCAGCAAAATTCACTCTAAGCAAGCCACATAATCAAGTGGGCAAGAGGAGAAACAGGTTAGGAATAGATTGGAATGCACAAAATGCAGAGAAGAGAGGTGGCAAGTTAATAATCAGGTAGAAGAAGAAATCATAATTCCAGCACCACACATCCAAATTCCAATATTGTGCTTTCACTAATCATGGAGAGGAAGCCATAAGGGATTAGAGCAAACAAGGCATCTAAGCACAAAATACAAAGAAGAAACATGGGAGGATAAGATCCTAGAATTCAACGAACAGATCCAAGTCAAATTCACACCATTCTTTCAAAGTTCACAGGGATAATATCATTAAGATTCCAAAGCAATAAGGAATCATGATATCAAAGCAACAGGGCAATCACAAGTGTCGAAATAGAAGAGATGAAAGGAAGGAAAGACATACCTCCACACAACGAACAACTGTTAACAGATGAGAGCTGACTCACTCCTACGGTCACTCTAGAAAATGGCCAAGTGTAACCACTTCCTAAAGATTAGTATAGCGGGTTTGGGTTTTAATGTCAACCCGGGTCCTAGATATGATGACTACTCAGTGAATTCGTATTATCTAGCAATGAAACTTTAGTGAAGGTCTAAACTAACAAACAAGCAAAGCAACTAAACGGTTGTTTTCAGGTCAAGAGAGGTCACCCTGATATGGTTCCCCCTAGACTGCAGTTAAGCCGGATTGCAATTACCAAGTTCAATTTCTATGATAGTTATAGTGCGGAAGGTTCTTAAACAGTCTGAAGTCTCGACTAAAGGTCTCCAGACCCTCTCAATCTGAGTCTCTAGCGGGCGACTAACCTCCACCGGAGTAAACAGATTGAGGCCCTAACGAACCAAACCTCCACTACCGAAGTAACTTCGGTACAGAATAGTGAATTGACTCCTCGACTAAAGTCACCAATTCACTACCTTCAATTAAGGGTGCTCTATCAACCTAGGCAGATATTCTCATTCTAGGTTAAAGCAGAAACAACAGGAATTTGATCAGGATTCATGTCATTCAATCATTCAAACATTCAAACCTCAATCGAATATAATCAAATCACAGAATCAGTACTTGGGTTCATACAATCAAACCTAACATACAAATCTAGGGTTTCCCATATCCAGATGAATGGGAGAACTACTCCATGGAGAAAGAAGCAAAAGCAGATTCAGACGCGGAAATCATACTGTGAAGGATGGATTTCTGCTCCTGGACGTTGATCGGCACTTCTCCAAGCTCAAGCAAAGCTCCAATGGTGATGAAGATCAAGCTAGGGCACTTGGGGACTCTTGTTCGTCGCTTTCTCTCTCTAGGAATCGCTCTGTCTCTCTAAAACTCGAATCCCCCTTCTCTTTTGGCTCAAATCTGCCTAAAAAGGCTGACCCTGGGCAAAACACGGTCGAGGACACGGCCGTGCTTTGATTTGGCCCGCCCGTGTTTTGCCTCGTGTTAAAAACACGCCCGCGCGCGTCGGCCAAAACACGGTCGTGCCTAAATATGGGCACGGCCGTGTTTTGATTTAGGCGCGCCCGTGTTTTTACTGCCGAACCTGTTCCCCTATATTCAATGCTTCGTTTCTCCCTCGTCCGGACTCCGAATCACTCGCCGTTTGATCCCAGACGCTCGTAGTCTCGTCCTCTTTCTTATCATGACAAGCTTGCATGATTCTTTGTCCATAAAGTGAGGTAGAAATCCATTCTTCTTCAAGTCATGCCCGAGTTTCTTCTCCCGAATCGCCAATTGATCTCTGATTGACTTGAAACTTGCGCCTATGCTTCACTTTATGTGCTAGGACCTGAAATGTGACAAAGGAACACAACCTAGCGTAAAATAGGCCAAAGAAGCAATAATGCAAGCTTAAACGATCAAGAAACAAAGGGGAAAACATGTGCAAATATCGAGTCATCAAACCTCCCACACTTAACCGTTTGCTTGTCCCCAAGCAAACCAAGTCAGACACAAGGTAGGCTCAAAACATTTCAATCAAGCAGGCTTTAGGGCATATCATATCTGCACAAAATACGTGGATCATACTAGCTTCTAGTCATTAACACATGGGAAACCTCAACGACAACCTAGACAACCACCACAGATGACATTCGAATTGCAGCAAAGTCGAGCAAAGGAAAAGTCTCCCTTCTGTTCCCCAACCAACATAGACTCGACTCAACCACTTATTCCAGACAGTCACTTCATGCATAAAACTCAAGATATCAGAATTAAGACCGAGCAATCTAGGTCCTCACCGGGATAAGGAGTATAAAGAATATGGGAAAATGAATCACTCACACTCGACCAGTGGGGTCAGGACAATTTGATGCGAAAAATGCGCATGCTTATTCTCTCAATCCCTAACGTCTCTTCACCATGAATGCAGCCTCTAAATGCTAGAGTTCACATATGGGGTGTCACCACTAACTAATCCGGAGGTCTTAGACACGGGTTCAAATGACTGGCTAGGGTCTTGGACATGGGGAAAAGGCCTTTTAGGTGGTGGAAGTATTCATAGCACAAGGTTCCACAATTCCAAACCCAACACAACTACAACCAATCAACCACTCACTTGCTTTCTGCCATTCCGCATTATTCAAATTATTTAGAGCACAAGAGCGAAGGAGGTCACAACGACGTTAGTATTTCTAAGCCAGGCTGCTAAGAAACACTACTTACCGGGCACTATTCAGATTTTTGGTGGTGGCTCTCTTTTGCTTCCATTCATTCATTTTTTCTTCTTTTTCTTTGTTTCTTTCATTTCTTAAGAGGACCACCACCTATTCACATTTTCAAACACATGCCCACCTTTTTAAGAACTACCTCCAACCCTCACATTACATTTAGCAGAATAGCAGAGAACATGTAAAAACCACTCTGTGGAACCTTCTAAGAGATGCAAAAGGGTGATTTTTTTCATTGTAGACCGAAAGAAAAGGATAACACACGGCTCAAAGGGGCTGACTAGGGGGGTATGACACACCAGGACAGTCAATTTGGTCGTGGGCTAATCCTATGCCTCCATCATCTTAGCTAATGACAACGTGAATGCTGCACATCATGGAAGAGGGAACTATCGCACAAGAAATAAACGAGCAGGCTCAAATCTCACATGGCTACCTATATGCTTTATCTCTCATTCTGATTCCCTGAACTAGATGCATAAATGATTGTCAAGAGGAAGTGATCAATTCAAGTCACAGTTGGTAAGCAAACAGTTGAAAAACTGAACCCCTACACAACTCTACTACACATCTCAGTCATCATAATAGGTTGTCTTAGTCATACTCAAGTTGTCATGCATCAAGTCAAAAGCCATTCCATTCACCAATCACATCCACAGTGACAATACGATCAAATGTCAAGCAAACGACAGTACTTGGAGCCCTCAAATCTTGAAATTTGGACAGTGGACTAGGCTCCAAGCACACAAACGGCCAAACATTCACACGCATTCATAATCGAGCATCCCCCCACACTTAAGCACGACACTGTCCTCAATGGAGGAAAGATAAGAAGGGTAGAACGAAGTTACCGGTGTGCACGGACTGCATGAGACTAGACGGGGACCAGTCTGAGTGAAACGGACTGGAGAGAGGACCAGTCAGGGACACAGGCACAACTAAAGGGAACAGAAGAACTCCAACACAATACGTTAGGTCCAATGGTCAGCCCAATATTATATTATCCAAAACAAAAGAAAACAAACCAGTTCACAATCCGACCCGAAACCAAAAGAACTAAATGAAAACCGTGGTGGGGTTGCCTCCCCACAAGCGCTTCTTTACCATCATTTAGCTGGACGCCCATGGTGGATACTCAGTGGGGTGCAAGAACATGTGCCTCCAAGAGCGGATCCACATCGCTCTTGAGGTACAGCTTCAGATGGTGGCCATGCACCCGACGGGTACAACCACCAGCATTGGTCAGCTCGACCTGGCCATTCGGCAAAATGCAGGCAAGTGAGTACGCGGATGGCCAGGGTGATCGTGATGTAGGAGGTGGGACCAGCTCATAGTGGTCTCCACCTTTCTTCCGAGTAGGCTTAGGCACCTGCTGCTTCGGCCGCCACTCCTCTTTGAGTTTTTTATTCGGTGGTGAGGCTGGAGGGAGCGACGGCGAAGGCGTGAGAGGGGGATCCTGCAAAATGAGAGGTGCAGAAGGATACACGACATGCTCGTGTACCTGTTCAGAATAGCATGCACAGGTGTGACAACAATCATAGCACAGTGATCAAACT